GAGATCGAGTCTCCACGCCGAAGCTTTCCAGAATTGACATCATGTGAGCCTACTTGGGTTTCTCTTTCTTTCTTCGGCCCTTCCCTGCCCCCCTCTCTCTCAAAATAAATAAATAAATAAACTTTAAAAAAAATAAATAAAAAATATATTATCATGAACTCCATATGCCCAATTAATATTGTTGAATTTGCTGTTTGAACTTTTTATAAAAGTTTCATGATAAATGTAATCTTCTGAGACTTCCTTCTTCTCCCACTCAACATTATCATTTAAGATTAGGCCAGTTTTGGGTGCCTGGGTGGTTTGTTGGTTAAGTGGCCGACTTCTGCCTCAGGCCATGATCTCAAGGGCGAGTTTGAGCCCTGCATCGGCTCTGTGTTGACAGCTTGGATTGGCCTTCAGGGGAAATTTTCTCTCGTTGCGTCTCCTTCCCTGCCCGTGACTTTGTCTTTCAAAAATGAATAAATGTTAAAAATTTTAAAAAAGATTAGCCAATTTTTAGTTCAATGCTTTCTCCCCTTACTTCACATGGTTCCAGAAGCATGGGCAAGACCATATCCCACTTATTCAAAGGACATATCTGCCGCCACGGGTAATTTTTTTTTTTTTAATTTTTTTCAAAGTTTATTTATTTTTTTGGGAATAGAGAGACAGAGTACGAACGGAGGCAGAGATAGGGGAGACAGAATCGGAAACAGGTCGAGGCTCCATATCACCCAGAGCTCACGCTGGGCTCGGAACTCGCGTGACCGCGATCACCGTGATCGGCTGGAAGTCGTGATCTTTTCGGTCCCATCAGCGCCACCCAGGCTCTCCAACTACCACGAACATTTCCTGCACACATAACCTGGCTTTTCAATGCCTGTGAGAGAGTTTTTTAGGGGTAGCCATTAGGGGTGGCTTTGCATTTCTAGCTGGCCTGCATATGCCCATCATCTTTCCAGGTCATGTGCTCCAACTTAGTGATATCATTATTATTCGCGGCAGCAGCCAGCCACAGAGGCTCAGGCAACAGCTTTCCTTCCCAGGAGCACAGCCAAACTGCATTTCCCGCCTCCCCCCCCCCCCCCCCCCCCCCCCCCCCCCCCCCCCCCCAGAACGGTCCATGGATCGCTGGGGTCCTGGGACTGTTTCTAATCCCTAAAATGGCCCCACAGCATTCTTCTGAAAGCTTTCAGCAAGATGCTGGGGTCCACTTCCCACAGACCCAGGGTTCTGGGCTTTCTGACTCCATCCAGTAGAAATACAAGCCGCTCTTGCTTGCAGGTATTTCTGAAATCTGAGAGAAACCACTTAATGTAAAGCCAGTCATATTTAGGGAGGGTTTTTACTGTTTGTTATGGCAGCTAGTATAATATGGCCATCCTTCATTCTATTAGGACATATTTGTCCACAGGTCCAGAATTTCAGACTGAGCCTCGGCAGGCCTTTCCTGCTCATGGTCTGGCCCAGGGAAAGATGGGGCCTAAAGCAAGATCTTTTTGTAGAAGTCATGGTGGGGAAAAAAATTACAGACGACACAAATAATGTTCAATAATATACACTCATACATAACTCTATACATTTTAAATACCCGTACTTGTTAGATCTGATTGGGCAGAAAGAAAGGTTACAATGCCCCTGGTCCGAGGGGCCTCACCAACCCCAAGCTGCTCATTAGGGCCTGGGCACTTGAGGTCACGCCTGGGTCCCTAAGCATCCACTGGAGGGTTGAAACTCAGGAGCAGGCCACATAGCTGGGGGGGTCATGGCTGGGACAGGCTGTCTCATATGGGGCGGGTCTGGGTGCCAGTGGAGAGTCCCCCCTGGGCTTCCCACTGAGCTGTGGCAATGTCCGCTGAGATGCCAGAGCCTGAGAGACACCCATGAGGTACAGGTAGAGGGTGGGGTGGGGTCAGGGGCAGCTTGGGCAAGAAGAGCTGGGAGCTGGGATCCAGATCGTGGTACTCAAAGCTGGCACCCAAGGCCCTCTCCCCTGGCCCAGAAGGTTTGCCGCTTCTGGGACAAGGCAGATGAGCAGGAGGAGGCTTCTAAGCCTTTTATCCATGGCTACTCATGTCCAAATCGCCATCAGGTCAAAGGAGATCCCCTCGCCACAATGCTGGGACTCCGGGCAGCAACCACTCTGTCCAGCACCATGTCTTGGGGTATGTTCACTGCCCAGCGGCCCAGGGGCCCCTCCTGCCTCTCGCCCGCCTGGGTAAGTAGCCCCCCCAGCAACCTTCTCAGAGTAGTATCTCTTCCAGCCGGGAGGGTGGGTCCTCTGCTGGGAGTGCAGGCTCCACCAAAAGACAGCCCTCATTCTGGGTACAGCTGGGAAACAGCACCAGCCTGGGCTCAGAGACTCCACAGCTCAGCCACAGCAGGCAGGAGGGAAACCCCAGGCCCCGAGGGGACAACCAGGCCACCTACTCCGGAAGTTACCCTCCTTGTGGGTGGTGAAGAGGCTCCTCAAACTCACTCGGGCTTACCAGGCCAGATCTCTGGCTTCAGAGTCCTGGTGAAGCCAACATGGGTATGTGTCACTGGGAATACCACCAATACCCCCCTAAGAAGGGCAAGGCTTACAGGGGCACAGAGGCATCCTAGTCCTCACACAATCACAAGGCAGAGGAGGTAGGGGCTGAGGAACAGAGGTTTTGGCTGAAGCATCTGCAAGGCCCTATGAAGATGGGTGTGACTGGAACAGGGTTTTGAAGGATGGCTAGGAGTTCCACATACACTGCCTGGTGCTCTCTCCCCTAACCAGGCTTGTCTGAGTTCATTATGTTGTTTCTCCCTTCACTCTTTTTCCATACCCCGAATGGTAGAATAAAATTCAAGAAAAAAAAAAAAAAAAAAAAAAAAAAAATTCTGCCGGGTTGGTTGAACATCCCACTCCCATTTTTGCCCAGGTCATGATCTCACGGTTTAGAGGTTCGAGTTTGCATTGGCTCTCTAAACTGATTGCAGAGCCTGCTTGGGATTCTCTCTCTCTCTCTTTCTCTTCTCTCCTTCCCTTTCTGTCCTTCCTTCATCTTATAAGAGGCTTTCTTCTCCTTCAAAATAAATAGTTAAAATTAAAAAAAAAAAGACAACAATCTTTTCCACAGCTCCTCCTCTGTGCAGACAACCTTGTATTGCTCCTCCTACTGTGACTCCTCCCCTCTCTCACCCTTAATTATCATCATCATCATTCACGCCTACTTCCTCATAATATATTCTGCTCTAGCCAGAGATACCTTCTTAGCTGTTTAGTGTTTCCTAAGTTTTATTCCCACCTTGGGCTCTTTTGTAGGAATTGTTGTTCTTTTCAATTGTCTCGCTGCTCTTGTCCAACCGCTAGTTACTTCATTCTGATATCATCTTCCAGGAGGCCTCCCCGCCATTCTGTCACGCCCCACACCCCATTTGTTTCTGTGATGGCACTTACCACAATAGATAATCAAATATCTGTTGGTGGGGTGCCTGGGTGGCTCACGGTTGAGCAGCCAACTTGATTTTTGCCATGGCATAGTCATGATCTCATTGTTTACAGGGATCAAGCCCAAAAGCTCGGGCTTTCACACTGAAGGCATGGAGCCTGCTTGACTTCTCTCTCTTTTCCTCTCTGCTCCCGTGATAAGGTGTTGGTACCCTTTGCTTGCTATTCGGCATCACCAGCTTTGAGATCCACAAGGTCAGAGAGATGTTTGTTTTCCACTTTTCTTTTGCCTAGCACAGAGTTGGCACCTACAGTATGTATTTTCCAACCAAATAAATAAACAAGGCCCTTAAAGACAACAACAGAATAATGTTTGGCAGACAAGGCAGGAAAGGCATTGCAGGCAGAAGGAATGGCATATGTGCCAAGGCTTGGGGTATGAAACCACATATAGAGCTACTTAATAACAAAAAACCTCAGGATGGCTGGCCCTAAATGCCTAGAATAATCTAAGAGCTTGATAACAGAGGCAGGAGGCACTCAGATGTTAAATCTTTTCCATGCGCCCATCTGGGATTTTACAAAAGTTGATGAAATTGGGAAAAGGAACAAGGAATTCAAAAGGAGCAACCGCTGAGGTTCAAGGAAAACCAGGTGAATGTTCCCAAGAATTTAACTGATTCTGGATATGGTCTGGCTTTGCATCCCAGCTCCTGCCACGACTCACTGTGTGTCCTCAAAGTGCCTCACTTGAGCCTAGCTTTCCACAGCAAAAAGGAGCAGAAGTTGAGTCTGGGCTAGGTGTCCAATGGGCCACCGGGCGGTGGGAAAGCAGGGCGAGCACGGGCTGGGCAGCAGCAGGATGAGCACGAGGATGAGTGAGGAGCTGTCAGGACATGAGAGGGTCCAAAGCTCCATGCTACAGGGAGAAGTCAGGATAGTAGGATTACCCCATGCCTCCCAGGCCCCTCCTAACTAGCTGGGCCTCACCACTAGCTGGCTGGGCAGGCGACGCAGGCTCGGACCAGGCGCCCAGAAGCCACCGAAGTCAGGTTTCTCCGGCAGCCATACAGGCGCGCGCGAACCATGTGTGCGCGTAGCGCGTTCTGGGTCATTTCTTTGGGGGTTGCTCAGTGCTAATTGTGGCCATCCAGGATCTCCAATCTGGGAAAATTTGGGTGAGAGAGGCAAAAATAATAATAATAGGGCGCTTATAGAGAAAAGCTTGTAAAGGCACTGAGCCAACAGAGAAAGAAGGACAGCTTCAACACTGGGTGTGTGAGGAAGGGCAAATGAAAAGCAAAGAGAGTGGTTCCAGGAAGGCCAAATAATAATCAGAAAAGGGAGGTCCAGGGAGGAGGGGGGCGGTCTCTGAGCTATTGTCATAGCATAGGTGGAGCCATAAGTCAGGATGTTGAAGGGGTGATATTTGGGACAAGTAGAAGTGGAGGCTTTGGAGGCTTGGGTCCAGGACTGAGGAGGCATGGGAAAGGAAGACATGTCAGTGGGAGCTGTGTGTTTTGGGCAAAAAAGAGCACAGGCGTCAGAGTGGAGTGCTGGAGGGCGAGGCCAGGAAGGCGAGCCATGCCAGCCATCATGGGTTGAAGTAGAGGAAGGGGAGGCAGATGAAGCCACACATGCCTTTTGAATCAATGGAGTCGGGGGCGGCCGTACCTCTGAGCGCCCCCCTGCCGACTGCACTGAGATGTTCACTTCGTAGAGCGGATCAGAGCTGCGACGGGCTCCAGGAGGCGGGAGCTGCAACGGTCACCACGTGGCGCCTCGTCACGGCCCGCTGCACGGCGCCAGCAGTCCAGACCCCGCGGGGGGGGCAGGAGGCACTGCGAAGGGGTCTGATCAGGTGGCTGGGGTGACCGAGACTCGCCCTCGCGTAATTTCCCCATTCCTGCATCGCGCACGTACCACCACTTCGGGTTGGATGTGTGATACGGTGATAGGCGTGGAGCGCCCGAGGATACGGCTGCTGACGCGCAAGCTCGCACAAAGACAGCTCGATTGCGTATCGGCAGGCAGCGAAAGTTCCAAACACGCACAGACAGCGCCGCGGAGTGGGCGCCTGATCTGCATGGCTATAACTCACGCGTTCGCCCCTGATGTGCGCGGCAGGGGCCACAGAAGGAAGGGAGCAGTTGGGGTGGGGTGCAGAGAGTTTGTTGCCTGGAGTCTGGGGCCCGGTTTGAAGACACTACTCAGGGGGCGTCCGGCCCCCGACTACGCACGCTGCACGTCCATTATTTGAGGGGGGTGCTGTCCTGCCCAAATGTTTGCGATTCGCTCGCAACAGAGATCGGGCAGCCGAGACTGTTCCGGCCCCCAGCCACCATGGGGCGGCGCGTCGGCACTGACCCCGGGGTTTATTCATGACCGCCAGTGGCCGTCGTCCACCATGTCCTCCGCCCCGACGCCAGCAGATGTCCCAAAGTGTGAGCCCTTCCCGCACCCGCTCCCCCTCCCCCTCCAGAGGGTGGGGGCGCTCCACCTGCCTCCCGACCACTCACTCGAGCTGGTAGAGAAGCTGTAGCTGTAGGGGCTCGACCTCGGCGCTTGCGCATCTCCTCCCAAAGAACCAGGTCCTCCAACCGTTCGGTGGGCAAGACGGTAGCTCGGACTCGCGTGCAACGCCAGCCAGGTGCCATGCGGGAGGGACAGGAGGAGGGGTCAGACGCCCAGTCCTCGGCCACAGCAGCCTCCCCTCCTGCCTCCCTGCAGACGATAAGCAAAAGCCCCGTCAGCAGTTAGCCTGGTGCGCTAGCGAGCCCTCGAAGGCCCCGCAGGGGCCCCCCCCCTGAACCTCCGAAACGCTGGTGGCTTGCCTTACTGTTCCCACACACGCCCCCCCCCACCCCCAGCTACAACCTCGCTGGGACCGTCCGCGGCTGGAGGCCGCGGCTCCGCGCGCCCGCCCTGCTCGGCCCAGGACAGGCGAACCACTGGACGTGTAGGAAGGTGCGGGGAGACTCCCATCAGCCCCGGCAGGCGCTCGCGGCCGATAGCGCCAAGCCGTGAACCCCTCCTCGCCTTTCCTCGACCGCAAGCCGAGGACTTCTGGCGCCCGCATGCAAACCACATCGTTGACAGTCGCCTGAGGCCCCGGCCTCCTCGCCCTCGATCGCGGGCTTTTGTCACTCCTCTCCCGGTGGAGGGCCCGTCCTCCTGGGACTCCAGCCTAGGGATTTGGGCAGCCAGGCACCAGCCCAACCCTGCCCCGTGTAGGATTATGTGGCTCCCAGGCTCCTGAAAAAGATAAAACAAACTTATGCTCCCCCCCACCCCCCAAGCCCCCCCCCCCAGCCCCCACAACACAGCCGAGGTTAGACCCCACATGCAGCCATGGTGCCACTCTAAGGAGGCGCCAGCCCCAGATCCTAGACTGTAGGGCCAGAACCGAGCGGTGAGCTTGCTCCCAGGCAACCCAAGCTGGAAGTACAGGGCCTCGGCATTGCCCCTCCAGGAACCATTGCGGGGGGCTCACCACCAGATCCATCTCACTTTACTTTGTGAACTGGGGTCCCGGGGTGTGGGGAGCCCAGGCGCCCCAGCCGGACAGAGACAGAGAGGAGCGACCAGGCCAGAGGGGCGCCCAGAGTGTGACATGCCTATGATGCAACCCCGCCACGGGGCGCCAGGCCGCCTCTCCCGCTCCCTGGCACAATCACGACTGGTCAGCAGCAGCCTCGCAGACACACTGGCCCTTCCTGGCCAGGCGCCTCCCAGCGGTTTCAGGTGCCCGGTAGGGACACACAGCCTGGGCCGAGATGAAAGTCGGAGGCGCCGCC